CAATCACCTCAAACATACAGTTGCAAGAAAAAGTATGTGAAACCCTTGGGATTACGTGGAGTTTTGCATGAATTGGGCATAAAATGTGCTCTGAACGTCATCTAAGTCACAACAATAGAAGAACACAGTCTGCTGAACATAATACTACACAAACATTAGATGTTGCCATGGTTTAATTGCACATAACATGTAAACATTCACAGTGCAGGGAGGAAAAAGTATGTGAGGCCCTAGCTTAATGACTTCTCCCAGAGCTAACTGGAGCCAGGAGTGAGCCAACCTTGACTCCAATCAGTGTGATGATATTGGATGTGTTGCTGACAGCTGTCCTGCCCTTAAAAAACACACACCTGTTTTGGGTTTACTGGTTTCAAGAAGCACTGTCTGATGTGAACCATGCCTCGCAGAAAAGAGCTCTCAGAAGACCTACGATCAAGAATTGGTGAGTTGCATGGAGCTGGAAAGGGTTACAAAAGTATCTCCAAAATCCTTGATGTTCATGTGTCCACGGTAAGACAGACTGTCTACAAATGGAGAAAGTTTAGCACTGTTGCTACTCTCCCTAAGCGTGGTCGTCCTGTAAAAATGACTGCAAGAGCACAGCGCAGAATGCTGCATGAGGTAAAGAAGAATCCCAGAGTGTCAGCTAGAGACCTACAGAAATCTCTGGCACATGCTAACATTTTTGTTGACACATCTACAATAAGGAAAACATTAAACAAGAATGGAGTACATGGGAGGATACCACGGAGGAAGCCATTGCTGTCCAAAAAGAATATTGCAGCACGTTTGAAGTTTGCAAAAGAGCACCTGGCACTACTGGCAAAATATACTGTGGACAGATGAAACCAAGATTGAGTTGTTTGGGAAGAACACACAACACTATGTGTGGAGAAAAAAAGGCACAGCACACCAACATCAAAACCTCATCCCCACTGTAAAACATGGCGGAGGGAGCATCATGGTTTGGGGCTGTTTTGCTGCCTCAGGGCCTGGACGGATTGTTGTCATTGATGGAAAAATGAATTCCAGAGTTTATCAAGACATTTTGCAGGAAAACGCACGACCATCTGTCCGCCAACTGAAGCTCCGCAGAGGATGGGTGATGCAACAGGACAATGACCCAAAGCATACAAGTAATTCAACAAAACAATGGCTGCAACAGCACAGAATACGCCTTCTGGAGTGGCCCAGTCAGAGTCCTGACCTCAACCCGATTGAAATGCTGTGGCATGACCTTAAGAGAGCGATTCACACCAGACATCCCAAGAATATTGCTACACTGAAACAGTTTTGTGAAGAGGAGTGGTCCAAAATGACTCCAGATCGTTGTGCAGGTCTGATCTGCAACTACAGGAAACGTTTGGTAGAGGTTATTGCTGCCAAAGGAGGGTCAACCAGTTATTAAGTCCAAAGGTTCACATACCTTTTCCACCCTGCACTGTGAATGTTTACATGTTATGTGCAATTAAACCATGGCAACATCTAATGTTTGTGTAGTATTATGTTCAGCAGACTGTGTTCTTCTATTGTTGTGACTTAGATGACGTTCAGAGCACAATTTATGCCCAATTCATGCAAAACTCCACGTAATCCCAAGGGGTTCACATACTTTTTCTTGTAACTGTAAATAAATAAAAGCTGATAATTGTAAGCACCCTTGTCATGGTAAATGGTTTGTCTCAACACTATAACTGCTACATTTGTAGAAGAGCTTGCTGGCTGGATCGCCAGATGAAAATAAAGGAAAGAAAACCTAAAAGGGAAAATTAATACAGCCATCACATTTAAAAATTAGTAAGCTGCAATTTAATAAATTATTTCTTTTTTAGGCTTAATGTTGCTTTATTCTGTTGTCTGCTGGCAACATCTTCAAGGACCCCAACTTTTTTCAAGGGCCCCAAATTTTCCAGCCAGTGGTTTTTTGATCAATCACTCACTAGTGGGATTAAATAGGGACTGTTATAGCAAGTTACCGTGGATATAGAAAATAATCACCCCCCTTTAAAATAATCAAATTTTTTTACTTTGGAGGCTGAAATGAAGACAGATACAGTTTTTGTTTTATCCAGCTGTATTTACTCAGTGGGATTTATTTACTAAAGCTGGGGAGTCCAAAATCAGGTTCACTTTTGCATAGAAACCAATCAGCTTCCAGGTTTTATTGTCAAAGCTTAATTGAACAAGCTGAGGTTAGAAGCTGATTGATTTCTATGTATAGGTGAGCCTGCTTTTTCACTCTCCAGCTTTAGTAAATAAACCCCAGTGCACTTTATAACATCCAAGTGAAAGACATTACACCAACATTTCAGCAAACAATTAAAAAAATTAAAAAACAGAATCACAGAGTTGGAAAAAGCATTGCCCCCCACCCGTGTGTCAGTATTTTATTGAACCACCTTTTGCTTTAATTACAACCTTTAGTCTGTTGGGATATGGCTCTACTAACTGTGCACATCTAGACTTTGCAATATTTGCCCACTCTTCTTTGCAGAACTGCTCAAGTTCAGTTACATTCAATGGTGACAGTTTGTGTACTACAGTCTTCAAGTCATTCCACAGATTTTCATTGGGGTTTTAGTCTTGGCTCTGACTAGGCCATGCAAGGACATTTACCTTTTTCTCCTTCAACCACAGTGTGGCCATGTTTGCTGTGTGCTTTGTATCATTGTCATGTTGGAAGGTAAACCTTCTGCCCCTTGACAACTTTCTGGCAGAGGGCAGCAGATTTTCCTCAAGAATTTGATAGTATTTTGCCCCATCCATTTTTTCCTTCTATCCTGGCAAGTGCTCCAGTCCCTGCTGCAGAGAAACCCCCCATAACAGGATATCACCACCTCCATGCTTTACTGTAGGAATGTTGTTATTTGGATGGTGAGCTGTATTGGATTGGATTTCCACCAGACATATCTTGTATTGTTGAGGTCAAATAATTCAATTTTAGTCTCATCTGACCATAACACCTTTTTCCGTGAGGCCTCAGAATCTTCAAGGTGTGTTTTGGAAAAGTTTGGTTGTGACTGCATTGAGCCTTTCTTGAGCAGTGGCTTTTTTTTCTTGCAACCCTCCCATACAATCCACATTTGTGGAGAATTTGCTATATTGTTGTCACATGTACACAATGACCACTCTTTGTCATAACTTCCTGCAACTGCTTCAGGGATGGTCTGTGTTGTACCAAATACCTTCCACTTTTTAATATTAGACTTCACTGTGCTTCTAGGCATTGATAAAGCATTTGACTTTTTTTTATCCATCTCCTGACTTGTGCCTGTCCACAATTTTATCCCGGAGATCTTCTGACAGTGCCTTGCCACCCACAGTTGAGTTTGCTTCACCAGGGACTGAAATGCTCCAGGAAAGCTCTTTTCATACTGAACTAATCAAAATGACCACAGTTGAAAGTTAAATGGCATTGTGTACCATTGAGAAGGTGATTATCTACACCTTACTGAGTTTACAAATCATTTTTAGGAGAGGGGTGATTCTTATGATGTAAATACAGCTGGATACAAAAACCTGAGTCTGTCTTCATTTCAGGCTGAAAAGCAGAAAAATGTGATAATTTTCTATAACCACTGCAAGACTGACTTTATATACTTTTGCTAGTTAAGTGCAATTCAGTTCTATAATTTACTGTTAGTGAGAATACTGCAGGTGTTTAGCCATATCTCTGAGCGTAACATTATTGTTTTATTGATTGTGTGTATAGGTGCACTTGCTAATTCTCTCTTTTTTTAGGCTATAGTTGGCCTAATAAATTCTTTGAAATAGCTCAAGGCGTGTGGGTAAGTGCTGGTGAGTGAAAGGTGTCATCTTCAGATGTGCAGAGAAATCACAAAACAATTCAGCAGCTCCTCCAGAGGAAGCACTATATGAGATAAATAGTTTCTTCACAGAAAGTATCAGTTATATACTACAGACAAAGGTCATGCATTAACCTGTGCAGTGTCATGTTAGCAAGTTTAACAGATCACCCCCTAGGGGTCATAGGGCAGACTATAAGCCATTTAACATCGTCATAGTTTACACTTATTCTAAGTGGGTTAGCAACACTCTCAGGCCAGAGGTCATATTTTTACTTCAGAGACCCACACAGATAGACCATGTCTTCTTCTTCAGCCAGTAACATTGTCTGTTCCTACCTGTCCCAGTAATAGACTCAGGGGCGTATTTGCTGCGAGGCAAACAGGGCATTTGCCTAGGGCAGCACTTTTCAGGGGGGTGGCACGGTGGCAGTGCCACCCCCCCCCTTTCCCACGGAAGGGACACTTCCATGGGAAAGGGACAGGAGCTGCTGTGCCTTGCCTGTGTCCGCGACTCCATGTCCCACGTCGATCCGGTCCACAAGGCGCTGCTGGAGGAGGGGTGCAGAGGCTGTCCGTGCAATGTCTTCAACTTCCTGGATCTTGATCGCGATGTGGGCGGGATGACAAGCCGCCCCTCAAATCTGACCACACCCCTGGGATCACTGGGCAGCCTATGGCAGCCTGTCCCTCCCTCTGCAAGCTCCGCCTCTTCATCGGTGATTGACCGCCAGATCTGTAGCTCAGAAAAGGCACACAGGCGGCCAATCACAGGCGAGGAAGTGGAGCTTGGAGAGGAGGAGCTGAGCGGCAGCGCGCGAAGATTGAAGATCGAGTGAGGGAGCAGCTGGAGTCGGTGAAGAGGAGGAGAGTGGCTGAAGAAGGAAGACAGCTGATGGGTAAGTGTCTGTGCCTGAAGGAGGGAGCCAGGGCTGGAGCAGGGGTCAGCACAGCAATGTAAACATAATTGGTGTCAGTGGGAGTAATAGTGCCCCCATCATTAGTGTCAGTGTGGGAGGAATAGTGCCCACTCATTGGTGTCACTGACACCAATGATGGTGCACTATTCCTTCCACTGACACCAATGATGGGGCACAATTCCTTCCACTGACACCAATGATGGGACACTATTCCTCCCATTGACACCAATGATGGGGCACTATGCCTCCCACTGACACCAATGATGGGTCACTTCCTCCAACTGACACCAAAGATGGGGCACTATTCCTCCCACTGACACCCACTGACACCAATGATGGGGCACTATTCCTCCCACTGACATTAATTATGGGGCACTTTCTCCCACTGATACCAATGGTGGGGCACTATTCCTCCCCCTGACACCAATGATGGGGCACGATTCCTCCCACTGACACCAATGATGGGGCACAATTCCTCCCACTGACACCATGATGGGGCACCATCGTTGGTATCAGTGGGAGGAATAGTGTCCCATTATTAGTATCAGAGTGAGGAATAGTGCCCATCATTAGTGTCAGTGGGAGGAATAGTGCCCCATCATTATTGTCAGTGGAAGGAATTGTGCCCCATCATTGGTGTCAGTGGGAGTAATAGCGCCCCATCGTTGTCAGTGGGTGGAGCTCTAATAGGAAGAGGTGGAGCCTAAAGAGGAAGAAGTGGAGTTTGCAGATGAAAGGGTGGGATAAATTTAGATGCGGGGGGGGGGGCGATTTTAGTCTTGCCTAGGGCAGCACAAATCCAAAATACACCACTGAATAGACTACAAAGTTATTTTGAGAAAATAGTGCACAACACTGAATTATTTCCACCAACGTATTATGACACATTACACTGTACTGTCAACATTGTGCACCCTGAAGGCACAGAGGGAAGCCACAGCATTTAGTTACACAAGTGCCACATACGTAGTTGCAGGCTTAGCCCCTAGGAGGGTTCTTCTCTGCAGCGGGTCCCAAGATAGAAATCTCAACCATTCAGTAGAGTACCAAGTGCTCTTTCGTTCAACTCAGCAGGCACTGATCTCCCCCTCCTATACCTTTGTGTTCTGACAGGGGAACTCCCCCCTCACCAAAACACTCTGATCAGCGCTGGCGGCCAGTGGTATCTGGCTGTCTACCTTCGATGTGTGTGGTTGTTTGTGTAATGTACAAATTTCTAACAGTGTATGTGTTTTTCATTTGGCAAAGTCCATTCATTCCAAAATCAAAGGTTTAAAGCAAACAAAATCTTGAAATACTTTTGAACAACATTCCAATGTACTGAGAATTTATGTAGAAAATTTTGTACAAATTTTCATTACAAATTCTGCTAGTGTATACCTGGTTTAAGACTGTTCCTTTAAGAAATACCTCCTCAAAAACCACAGAGAGATTAGGACTGTCTGCTGCCCTATTTATTTTTTGCAATCTGCGAAGTTCTACAGTCAGGGAGTTGTCTTTGTTTCAGCTTTTGAGGGGACTGCATCCCTGTAGGTTGTTAGATATTGCTATAGAAACGTGAGGAAAATGAAGCCACACCATACAAGTGCCTGATAAAACATATTACAGCAAGGCAAAACCCTATTGATATTGTGACCCCCATCTTGAGAGAACCGGTCTTGTGTGGGGACGTTCAGGTAAGTATACCTCCCATAGACTAAAAAAAAAAAAATCAATCAACCCTTGAGGTGTAGGCACAGCCCCATTGCAAGGGAAAACTTTTTTTTTTTTTTTCCCCAGAGTTCAGCCTTTATTGGATTGCTTATTTGACTAGGCAAGAATATCCACTGTGACAGATTTTAGGTATGTAGCACCCTCCCAGTCAGGTGCTAGGATTTGTATAGTTAGGTTAAGCATAGCTGTGTTTCTCTGATTACCAGAGAGACTGATAGGAAAATGTAATTGGGCTCTCTGCTTAACAGAGTGCTGAGATTGATAAGTCAGGTCTGCTCATGATGCTCTGGTGTTTGAGTTAGTGTGAGTTCTGCTTGCCTTTCAGAAAGCTATGAGAGCCTTCTAGAACATGGGTAGGGGCTAGGCAAATGAACAGCATGATTATGGATACAGCACTGGCCAATTGCAAGGGAGGGCCATCCCAGTGAATGCTGGGAGTGGTATTTATGTTCTGTGAGCACAGGGGTTCAGCATATTTCCTGGGAGAGTATTGAACAGCCAGGTTGGAGGCAGGCTGCCTTGCCTGGCGCATGCTGCCATGCAGCCTCAGGTGGCTCGACCTGAGGGCCTGAAGTTAGAGAGAGATGTCTGGTATCACCAGTGAGAGTCGCTTAGAAGATTGGAAGGAGGCAACCATTCTGTCCTTGGGCTTTGAGTACAGACACCCTGTGTGCTTTGCTACCCCTCTGGTGCTTGATAGTCAGCGTGGGTCTGAGAAAAGGGAACACTAACTAGTGTTCCAAAGAGCTTGTCCGATGGGTGCTACTGCAAAAGGACTTTTCTCAGTTCTATTACTTCTGGTCTGCTATAGTCCATCGTAACAGGCCTGTAAGTGGGGAGCTCAGCCCTGCAACTACTACTGCTAAAGGAACTTTGCTCACTCCTGAAACTACTTCTTTCTACACTTTAAAGAGAAGTCTGCTATCTGCTTTCAGTCAGGACTTCAATAGTGCTAAACTAAGAGATCAGCTAGGTGTCCTCAGTGTGAATAGTTCTGATTTTGGAGTATCCTACTAAATCACCTATCCCTATCCTCAGTTCTACAATAAAACTCCAAAAACAAACATCCCCTAGACTGGTCATTGAAAACGAGTGGAAGTGTTTGTGTGAATGTATTTGGCTAAAGAAATACACTCTGCCTGGCTGCAGGGTGAAGTAAGGGAAAACTGGGGCAAAAAATACAAGCAGCCCTTGCGAGGGTAGCGCTACAAATAGACAATGTTAGGAACAGTAGTCATTACCAGCTGTCAAAGACCATGTTTTTATAATGCAAAACCATCTCTTCAATACCAATGAGGCAATGATTATCATGTTCCCTATACTGTAATGTTATATTCAAGTGTCCTCATCAAAGGGTATGCTTTTTATTACCTAATATCAATTACAAACCATTTTAGCAGCTATAGCTGGAAGAAAAGCTATGATGACCTTGGCAAGATTTAAACCTTATTTTTCGAGCAGGTTGTGAGTTTTAGGATGCATGCTGAAGGCAATACTTTTCAAGTGTCTGTTCTGTCACTTATCCAAATAATGAAAGCTCTGCTTGTGTCAATTCCAGGCAACCAAAATGTCTTTCAGGCAGTCTCTCCAATTTTACAACATAACCTATGTTCATATTAACAAAGAGTTCCACTCTGACCACAACTAGTAGTTAAAAGACTTTTTTTTTTACGTTTCAGTGAAAATAGACGACTGATACATTTCTTTTGACATCATTCCAGACAGAATCACTTACAATAATGTTACAATGAACTGCCATGCACTTTTGAGGACAGCACATTTCCAAAGGAAAGCAATCAAAGCATGCTGCTTTGTCCAAATTAATATTAATCAGATACTGCATGTTATTTAGTAGTTTCCTGTTGAGAATTTTTAATCACAGGACAAGTCATTTACAATCAATACTGTCAAACTGTGATAGGGAGAAAGAAAAGAAGAAAAACAAAATAGAAAAAAGATGCTATTATGTGCTTGTATAATTACATCAAATGGAGAACCAATTGAGCTGCAGTGTCCCATTGTAGGGTCCATAAACACAAAAGGTGTGGTCATTTTTTATAGGCTCCCACCTGAGTTATGGTTTAAAGTAAAGTTTAGTTAAAGTGGTTGTGAAGGCTGAATATATTTTACCTTAATGCATCCTCTAAGGTAAAAAAAAAGTTGTTGCCTCAGAGCAACAGCACTGTTTATCTGTCCCTCCTCACTAGATCCAGTAAAAGCAGCGGGCACCATTGGCTCCTGCTGCTGTCAATCAAATCCAGTGACAAGGTGGTGGGTCTATAAACACACACAGCGTGGCTCAGGATCAGTAAGTGGCTTCCTATGGTGGCACGCACAGATGAGGAGGAGCTAGAAAAGCTGGCTGGAGACCTGAGGGGAGGAGGATCGGGACTGCTCTTTGCAATACCATTGCACAGAGCAGGTAAGTATAACATGTTTGTTATTTTAATCATTTAAGGTAAAACCTGAACATAGAAAAAAAAACATATCCTTGCTAACCAGGCAACAGTGAATCCCAAAAATTAACTTTAGCCAGGTCGCTAGACTAATTATTTGTATTTTTTAATGTGGCACTACAAATCAAATAAAATAATGGAAACAAAGAAAGTAACATACAAATGACAAAAGAAGAAAAAAATAATTAGAGTTATTAAAACATTAAACCAGAACAAATGTTTTCAAAAAGAAAAAAACCTAACCAAAGGAGTGCTGACAGCTGTTAATGAAACAAAGAGTGAGACCCACTTGTCAAAATGACAGCAAAGTGTCGCAGATTACACCAAGAGATTGGCTATCCCAGTGTAATTTATGGGTCTGGGCTGCCAGTTTATAGGCAGAATCCCACTCAGAGTTAGTGTCCATGAAATCAGTTAGTTTGACAACTGGGTGTTTTTCTGTGTCTCTGAAGTCCTTTAGGCTGGCCATACATGGGTCGAATGATTTTTCGTCTGAAAATCGGACCTAAGAATAATCGGCCGATTTTCACTCTGTTAGTGCGTCAATGGCACCGGCCAATTTTTGTGGTTCCTCCCCTTTTCGGTGATCGGGCATGTTGAAAAATTTGTGAAAAACGACCGATTTTCAACTTAATGATGGTCAAATCGTACGATCATTTTTTTCGAAAAGAATATGCACATGAGCCGTGACCTGGAAGGAACAGAAGTTTTGCCTGTTATATGGGGTGAACTTTATGACTTGGTAGGCCGATTTTCAAAAACATTGATGGCACCATCAGATTACCGACTGAACAACGTTTTTGTTTTTCGGACGAAAAATCGTTCGGAATTCGAACCATGTATGGCGTGCATTAGTGTACTATGTATTAGGAGTCACCATCTGAGCACATTATTCACCATTTGCCTACCAGGCACTTATACCCCCTTCTTGCCCAGGCCAATTTTCAGCTTTCAGCGTTGTCGCACTTTGATCAACAATTGCGCGGTCATGCAACACTGTACCCTTATGAAATTTTTATAATTTTTTTCACACAAATAGACCTTTCTTATGGTGGTATATACTTGCTGCTGGGTGTTTTATTTTTTGCATTATAAACAAAAAAGAGCAAAAAATGTGAGAAAAAAAAGTTTTTCTTTGTTTCTATTACAAAATTTTGCAAACAGGTAATTTTTCTCCTTCACTGATGTGCGTTGATGAGGCTGCACTGATAGGCAGCACTGAGGGGCATGGATAGGCAGCACTGACGGGCACTGATAGGCAGCACTGATGGGTACTGATGGACAGCACTGATAGGCAGCACTGATGGGTACTGATGGACAGCATTGGTAGGTGGCACTGATAAGCTGGCACTGATGAGGTGGCACTGATATGCAACAATGATGGGCACTGATAGGCGGCACTGATGGGCAACACTGATTGGCACTGATGGTTGGCACTGACTGATGGCACTACTGGACACTGGCAGCACTGCTGGGCAGCACTG